CTGCAACCTAGAAGTTGTGCAACCAGTAATAGTTCACATTAGTATTATTATATTCACTGCAGTTGGATTTTGATAAGATCTGAAGTTCTTATTCATGATTTAAGTGCAGTAGGCTCTCTGCACACCCACTTCAAGGCCAACCAATGCTACACTTCCTCATGCATGCCTCAGAGTAAGCTCTGCCTTCTGCAGTAATTTGAAACTGTCCTGCAGGAAGATGTTACCGTAAGTGTAAAGTGATTAGCTTGAGAAAAGTGGCCAAGAAGTTGGCTCTAGAATTAATCTGCTGGGTTTCATCATAGTTCCACTCTTTAATTGCAGTCAAGTTACTTCACCTCCCTGAGCCTCAGTTTTCTCATCTCTAAAATGAGAATAATAGCGGCACCCAATTCACAAGCTTATGAGAATTAAATGGTATGATGCATATGAAATTTTAGTGCACTGGCTCATTCTTTAAAACATGAGCTAAAAAATATTTATGATTTGGCCTCATATCAGTCCTTTCTGCCCTGAAAGTATGGAGAAGAAAATACTGGGTCAGGTTTCAAGTAACTCTGAATGAAGTGACACTTCTGTGATCAATTCTGAGATGGATACTGAGAGATTTGGGCATGACCTGGTCCTGTCTGTGCCTCAGTTTCTCCATCTGCAAACCAAGAGGGTTGGATTAGGTGAGCCCTTGTAGGACTTTGAATGAGGGTGGCTGAGAAGACTGTAAAGCACCCCCAGTGGTTTCTGGATGGCCCCAATCTTCCCAGTTACCCCACACAGAGGAAGACTAGGAAGGGTCTCAGAAACAAAGCTCTGGTCTTACCAAACCAATATTGTAGCTAAGAGAACTGCTGTAGGGATACACCAGCCCAACTGAAGATCTGTGTCTGTCACTGTATGTGACCTTGGGAAAGTCACTTCATCTCTCTGAGCTCCAATTCCTTCTTCTGTAAAGTGCAACTTCAAATAGTACCAAGATTGTAATGAGCCCAAGAGTTAATGTATGCAAAGTGTTTAGCCCACAGAGGAAGATCTCAGCAACAGAGCACTATGTTAATCATCATTACTGATACCAGTTTCACATGGAGCCCACCACTGGGCATGGTTCTCAGAGCTAGGCCAAATGCACACGTGCTCATTCCAACCATCCTTTCTAATGACAATAGAGCTCTTTATGAGGACAGCAGCCATTCTGAGGACACACCTGGAAAAGTGTGGGCAGGCTCTGCATACCAATGATCTAGATTCCCAGGATTCCCCAACAGCCTGAAGAAGGTGACACCATCTGTCTTTCCCCACCCTGTCCAGAAGACCAGTTCTGCAGAGCAGGAAAAGACTGGCGACTCTTTCTTGCCCAGTCCTCTCAGCCAAGGGAGAAAGGAGAAGTGACCTCCCCAAGAGAGTTACTAGAGTGTTTAGGATGGAACAGTGTCTGGGTTTGATTCTTGGCTTCTTGGCCTACAGACTGAGGATCCTGAATGGACTTCTACTTCCTCATCTGGAGAATGGAGATAATAACAGAATCTGCTTCCCTGAGTTGTTGCAAAGATTGCACGAGCATGTACATGATGGAAGGCAGGCCCTCAATAAATACCCACCTACATTCCTCATGTCACGGCTCCTACTTCATTATGTTTTGACTATGCCATAATGGAAACACCCAACACACTCATTTTGGGGTGTCATTTCAGCTCTGAAGCTGTGTGGAGTAATGGAATTGGTCTGGACTGGTCTGGGGTGCTGGTCTGGAAACCAGACTGGGACCCTGATTCTAAGTGTCTGTGACTTTCTACTGGTCACTTTCTATCTCTGGCTCTCAGTTTCTTCCTCTATAATGATATTATTCCATGGAAACATAATGCAGGACATATAGGCATTTTTCAATAGTAACCATTGTATAAAAAGTTTAAAAAAAATTAGTAAGTAAATTAATAATCTATTTTACCTGACTCAGTGTATCAAAAATAGTCTCATTTCAACATGTAATTAATATTTAAAAGTCACTGAGATACTTTAAATTATTTTTTTTCTTACTAAATCTTTGAAACCTGGGTGTTTTTTCAACCCAGGGCAATTTTGGCAGTTATCTGGGGTGATTTTGATCTTGAAAACCTGGGGGGAGACAGTAGAGGTATGTGTGTGTGTTCCTGGCAACGAGAGGGTGAGAACCACGTAGGAATGATGTGAACAGCCTACAATGCCCAGGCCAAACCCCTACATCGAACGATTAAATGCTCCAAAATGTTATGAGAACCTGCTTCACTTAAGGCACATCCCCATTTGGATTAGTCGCTTATCAAGTCCTCAGTAGCCATATACGACTGGTGGCTACCCTATCAGACGGTGCAGCTCTGTAACCCAGAACAATTTGGAACTTTTTTTTGGTAAATTTGTTTTCCTGCTCATCCTAAAGAGTTATCCAATAGACCTGTGGGCGGGCTAAGGACGAACCCATCTGTCCCTGACTGGTCAGACCCTTCCAAAGCCATTGGTCCTCCCCAAGGAGACTGAGCCTGGGACAGACAGTAAGCCCTGTTGTTCCTTTCTTAGAGACAATGCTGCAGCCCTGCTACCTGCCTGACAGGGCCAATTGTGGTTCAAGGAGAAAAGGGCTTTGTCAGGACAGCAGCCGAGGAGATTGCGGTTCAATGGGGCCCTTTATGTCTGCTCTGGTCAGAGCCCCAATGCCAGCCTGGGCAGGCCCAGCCCCCTCCTGGAGCAGATGGGAAGCCTGAAGTCCAGAAAGGGTGTGGAAGGCCCTGCACTTGATCCCAATTTCCTCTACCTTATACCACTGCCCAAAATATGAAATTCATCTGAGACTAAAAAACCTTTCTCAAAGCATAGGATGAGTTCCATGTAGCCCTTAACCCCAGGCAAAAGGAGTCCTAGCCAGAACCCTAAATTTAGTGTCTCTTCAAATCTCAAACACATACCAAAACAAAAGTGTCAAAGAATACTTAAGTGTACCTGTATCTCGGGTTCTGAGTACATCTCTGGCAACTACAATCCTAAGAATCCTTTCTTGTGATTTAAAAAGGCCCGGCTATTAAGAGAGGCTGCTAGAGCCTAAGTGTTCTCATCATTCAAACATCCCCCCTGCCAAACACACACACATGGGTAACTATGTAAGGCAGGTAAATGTATCAATTAGCTTGATTATGGTAATCATATCAAAATGTATGCCTATATCAAATTATTGCATCATATCTTAAAAATATATAATTAGTAATCATCAACAATACCTCAACAAAGCTGGGGAAAACACAGCCAGAGGGAAACACTCTCAGTGTATTGTTCTATGTCCTTGGAACAAAAACAATCGCAATCGAGTCTGGGTGCAGTGACAGTTTGAAGGCTGTACCGTTTCTGTATCAGAATGGACACCGATTCATAGCACAGGAGGATTTGTGCTGCAGGAATGCTTAGGTAAGAGAAAAGATAAATTCTCTTGTCAAATCCTCCCTCTCAGGTTGCACAGTGCTCGAGTTCTTCCATAATAAAGTGACTTTTCCCACTGAAGCCAATTATCCAGGCTTTTTGCAGCTCTGTGTTCAGTTCATACTAGTCTTAAAGGTATTTACCTCCATTTGAATTCCAGTTCCACACCCCTTGGGGTGTGCTTACATAAATGACCCACGGTGCAGGATGTGTTCTGATGGCAGTGCCTGGGACTACTATACCCTTTCTACACCCTGGGAAGGGCCAAAAAGAGATGTGTTATTTGACAGATAAGGAAATTGATTCTCATGAAAAGTGAGTTAAAGTCATCCAGAAAGTTAGAAGTCACATGTTCGGAGAACCCATCCCTGAAGGACTCGCAGGAGAGAGGAGGACAATGACAGTGGAGACATAGACTGGGGGCCAAGTAGCTTTGTCCTCGCCTGGCTCCTCACATGGAGATAATGGTGCCTCACAGGAGACTTAAATGATAATACCCAGAAGGAGGCTCTGCCTGCAGCAATGGTCCAATAGATACTTTTCTTTTCTTTCTTTTTTTTATTTCTTACATACATGACAATAGTGGAATGCATTACATTCATAATTATCCATTCACAGCATGATTTTTCATAAAGGCCACCTCCTCCAGGAAGCTGGAGACCAACACTTCCAGAACTGACCCCTGCTTTCTTAGCGGCCCCACACCTTCACTGCCCTGGAGCAGGAGTTTATTACAGTTGAAATGCCAGGCAGCTAAGTGTAGCCTTTGATCCTGGCACTTCCATTTCCCAGCTGGGACCCAGGACAAGTCTCCCATGCTCTACTTTACTTTCTGCAAATGACAAAGGCATGTCCCTTGTAGGGTTGTCATAAGGATTAAATGGACTTGTATTTTTTAGCACTTAAAACTCTGCCTGACCTATAGCAAGCAGTTTTACCAGTAGAGTGTTTTAAAATTTTTACTATTACCCACAGAAATACTCTCTCTCCCTCCCTCTCCCCTCTCTCTCTCTCTCTCTCTCTCTCTCTCTCTCTCTCTCTCTCTCTCACACACACACACACACACACGTATACAATTTTTAAATGGTAAATTTTTATGTATTGGTTTCTAAATAACTGATCCCATTTTGTTCTCCCATCAATATATAAGGTTTCTGGGGACAAGGGCTAATTTTATTCTCCAATCACTTCATTTCCTCCTTTGATTCAATTTACCAACCTCCTCTCCTTCATTCACTCGACAAACAAATTAGTACATTTATTGGGCACTTATTGTGTTCCTGCTACCTACTAGCACCCAACACAGACCAGATCTCTATGTTGAATGAATGTCAAGGGAAGAAGGGAGAAGGAGGAAAGGAACCAGGTTCTCAGAATCCTTTGGTCCTTCCAACTCTCACGTTGTCACTTCCCCTCTGCGGGAAATGTGCCACCTCTCTGGCCATCCTGGAGCGCATCCACTCTGTCACTGGGGGAGGTGGATGCCAGCGCAGTTGTCGGGAGGGGCGGATCCCGCGGACACGCCCCCCTCGCCTCCTGCCACTGACACTGGGCGGTGACTTTGCGTCTGGGAGCCCGGCCCGGTCCGCACCCCAGGAGGGCATGCGCCCCTCTTCGGGCGGCGGGAGTGCTGGGCCCCCAGCGCCCGGAGTTGCCCAAGGGTTTGAGTGACTCCTCCTCGGGGACCCTCCCTTCTGGGGCACGTCATTCTCCCTACCCCTGGGTACCGACCCCGCGGGCTTTTCCGGAGCTACGCTGGGACGCTGGGACGAGTCGCAGCCACCTGCTCCGGAGCGGAGGAGCCTGGGGCGCCGTCGCCGGCGCATGGGTCCATAAGCCCAGGGCCCCATGGAGCTGCGGGCCGGCAACGCCAGCTGTGAGAACGGTGCGTGCTGCAGGGCTGGGGACGGGGTGGGCTCCGCGCTTTGCACCCTAGCTCCAGTCGCCCCGATCTCATCCCCTGCCACGGGAACCAAAGGAAGGAAAGGGGAGGGTCAGTACGAGCTGACCCGCACCAATTCTCAGACTCGCCTTAGTGACTAAGACGAGATGTCCACCTTCGCAGCTGAGGTAGCCAAGCAAGAAAGGGAGGAAAGGAAGGAAACTGAACGTATTGGGGCTACTGGTGGGGGGTGCAGCGCGGCTCAGGGTTAGTGTGTGGTTAATGCAGATTTTAGTAATTGCCATGATCTGTCTGTGACCCAAGACAGGGGAGAGGACCACAAAGACTCTCCAGCCCCAAACCCACATACACCTTTCTTCAGTGGGGGAGATCCTCAGGCCGGACTAAGGAAAGATGCTTGGCTTCATGTCAAGTTCTTAGCAGGAATCAGGTAGTGGACTAGGCCCTTCCCTGAACTCTCTCATTTAATCCTTGAAACAACTCCAGCAGGTAGGTAGTGTTACTCTTTTACTGTCCCTATTTTGGAAATATAGAAACTGAGGCCCTAAAAAGGTGTTTGCTCAAGGTAGTACAATGGGGAAATGGACTATGAAATAGGGCTCTTGGATCCTAAAACTTGTACCTGTATGACTGTGCTAAGCTCCTTTCTTGTTCAGACTCCACTTTCCCACCTCATCTTGGAATTACAGGTGGTGGGGTACCCCCATTTCTCTCACTTCTGCCCTTCTTACCTGAAGTTTTCAAAGCCAGCCTGTTGAGTGTTGGCTGACTTTGGTTTCCTGAGTGATCAGGCAGCTATTTTCAGCCTCACCCCTTATCCTAGGGGATAATGTGTTCCCCAGTCCAAGAATATTCTGGAAGAATAGACTAGAATCATTTATCCCAACACCCATTTTTCAGATAAGCACTTCTTACAGAATTGAATTTCCTTTGGCTATCAGCCTTCTCTTGATTCACCATAGTGGGAGAATTTGACCCTCAACAGAGGGTCTTGAGCCTGTAGGTGCTGCAGGCCTTGCAGTGACAGTCAGGTCCATAGAGTCCTTTGGCTCCACCACTAGAGATGCACCTTCAGGGAGCTGGGGAAGGGAGGGGAATGGGCTTGGCCTTGCTCACAAGGAGTTGCCTTCCTTGGCCCACCTCCTCCCAAGCTCTGGCTCATTTCTGGGGACTCAGAGAACTCCCCAGATTTGGCTCTTGGGCAAGAAGGACTGAACTGGAGGAACAGGCGTGAGCAATGCAGAACCAGTCTGATCAGGGACTGCGATGATGGCTTCCTGTCTCATCTTCCCTAGATTGTGACACAGGTGTTGGAAAGACAGGTCTCTTCTAATAGGTTCCAAACCCAACTCTACTACCAGACTTACTTGCATGACTCAAGTAAGTCTCCTACCTTGGTGGGACTCAGTTTCCCCAGCTGAAAGTAACAGGGTGAGACTGACTGTTTTTGGAGAATTCTTATGGTCCTGTTGTCAGTGGTTCTGTGCCGTGGAGGAAAGGTCAATGTTACCTTTGTTTTAGTCCAAAAGGTGCCACTCTGCTGCAGATGTGCCAAAGCTGGAGCTTCCTGGCTTTGGACTTTGGGGCTCTTCTAGGCACTGGCTGGGAGTTCTAGTATGGTGGGAGAAGTGCCTGGTCCAGGCTTACATCCTTGGCATTGGAACCTGGGCTTCTGTTATACAGCCTGAAAAGGCCCTTCTACCTCTAGAGATCACCAACTCAAATGCCTAAGAAGCTAAGCCCATAACAAAAGTGGCTGAAGGGAGTCAGGTAGACTCTGAGGAGTTGCACAGAGCATGTCCTAAGATGTCAACGCTGCTTAGGGACAGATAGTTGTTGCCTCATGGGATGTTATGCCCAGTGAGGTAGCTCTTCTGACTTTCAAATGAAGCCCAAATATGAATCTTAAGGGGAAAGCTCCCAATTTTTTTTTTTTTTTTTGGATATTGAACCCAGGATTGCTTTACCACTGAGATACATCACCAGCCCATTTTGTTGGTTTGAGGCAGGGTCTCATTAAGTTGCTGAGGTCTTACTAAGTTGCCCAGGCTGGCCTTGAACTTCCTATCCTCCTGCCTCAACCTCCAGAGTAGCTGGGATTATAGGCATGCACCACCATGCCAGTTTATAGATTCATATTTTAAAATAAATAAGCAATACCAATTGGGATCTACTTCCCCACTTGCAATCTGCTTTACCTGGGTGGCTGTGGTGTGTGATTGTGATCATGGGCTTTGGCATCAAATGCGCTTGGATTTTAATTTTAGGTTCACCATTTACTACCTGTAAATAGCTTTAGGAAGAATACCAAAATCAGTCTCTTTGACCAAACCTGGAAATCATCACCATGCCTGTTTATTGGTTGTTAGGAATCCTCATGGAAAACTCTAGAACTGAGGACCATGTGGATGGTACCATATGGATGGTACCATGTAGGAGTGTTGAATGTTCTTTGTTCTGTTTTACTGAACTTCTGTAGCTTAGTTTTTCACTAAGGTCTGACCCTTGTTCCCAATGACAACAAGGCCTGTCCTTGCTGTCATTGGTGTCTGTGCCCGATGGGAGTAAAGGCTCTGGGCCACAAGGGCAAATTCAGACACTCAGGGACTCTGGGACTTGGAGAACAAACTAAAGAAAGAAAGGGTGGCAAGGACACGGGTCCTTGAGTGGACCAAAGAAGGTCCCACCCACAGAAGTGACAGAAGCAAGGCCCGAGAATGGTCAAACAGGAAGCTCATCCTTGTAGGATAAAAGGGGCTTGTCTAGCCCCACTCCCTCATGCTATCTATGACCAGTCCCCCATTGCAGCTGGAGCTTAGGGGCATGAAAGTAAAGAGACTCCTGTGTAGGATCATAAGCTATTGGAGGCCCACATGTACAAAGGGCTGAGAGAGGATTCTGCTGGAGGGCAGGGGTTTGAACTTAATGATGCCTGTGAACTTGGGCGACAATGCCTGGAGTTTGGGGCATCAGTTCCATATTTTGGAGTTCTGCAGTCTACCCTCTGTGTGTCCTTAAGCAAGTGACCTGAACTCTCATTGCCTCTATTTTTATCTCTGTGAAATGGGAACTGAAGACATCATTCATTTGACAGGTAGCTATAAAACTATGATATGTTCATGCAAATAAAGCCCTTAGCCAGAGTGACCTTTTAACTCACCATCGCTATTATTTTTGGTTGGGGCCCATTGTGTGAGTAGAGGCCTGACATGGTGGAAGCACAAGTTCTGAAACAGTGGTCAATTCCATGATTTTTTAAGTGCACACATGTCCCCAACATGACTCTCACTGTAGTCTTCCCATCCAGGTTCCCTGATCAGTCTCTACTGCTCCTCCCAAGAAGTCCTGTGTCAGATCGTTGGTGGCCTCAGCCATGAGGTGCCCAACAATGCCACCTTTGACAGCTGGCAGGAGAGGATCAGAAAGAACTATGGCTTCTACATTGGCCTGGGCCTGACCTTTGTGTCCAGCTTCCTCATCGGCAGCAGTGTCATCCTCAAGAAGAAAGGCCTCCTGCGACTTGTGGCCACAGGGGCCACTCGGGCTGGTAAGGTCCTTGGGGCAGGAGAGGATAGGTGGGGCACAGGGCAGCTGAGCCCATGGCTGACTTCCCCTCACAGAGATCAGGGCTTAAGTCTGAGAATATGGTGAAGGTGGGCACTAAATTCTCAACCCTATTGAGAGTCTCAGCCACCAACAGGAGACCCCCCTTTATAATCCAGCATTTCCTGAGAACCTTGTGCATTGATGTAAAGATAGGGAAAATTCTCAGGATCAAGATTCAGATACTCCAGGCTTCGTTAGTCCTGTCTTTGCTTCTTAGTAGCTGTGACAAGCCACATCTTCCATCAAATGGTAGTACCAATGCCCCTGCCCACCACAAGGTCAGACTCTGGTGTGCCCTCACTTACTGTCCAGTTGAGCTTTCTATGGGCTACAACACAATTATTGAGTCTCTTTTTCACAAGGGACTTGCTTATTTGGAAAATAGAATGTGTATCCATTAAATTATTATTGAGAAAATCTCTACTGCTCCTCCCAAGAAGTCCTGTGTTAAATCATCAGTGAAGTTCAGACCTGGAGGGTAGGCATTGGGAAGGTTTTCTAGAAAAGTCAATCTTCCAGCTGAAACCCAAGTCATAAGGAGCCAGCAGGGGAAAAGAAGAGGAAGACATGATATTTCAGGTAGAAGGAACAGCGTGTGCAAAAGCTCAGAGGTGAGAGAATATGAGTGATCCTAGAAAATGAGAGTAGTTCAGGTAAGGGGAAAGAGGAGGTTAGGGCTAGCTCATGAATGGTCTTGTAAGCTGGGCTGCAGAGTACGAATGCAATTGCTATGTGACTGAGAGGCTTTAGGCAGAGAAGTAACTGAGTCTGATTTATGTTGAAAAGATCCCTGGCTGCTGGGTAGAGAATAGATTAGGGCACAAGACTGGAAGTGGAGAGTCCAGTTAGATAAGCAAGAGGACAGAACTTGAGTCTGGAAATGGTACTGGGGATGAAGACAAGCAGTGGATTCTGGAGTCTGTTTTAGGAGGCAGAACTCACTAGCTTTGATGTTTACTGGCTACAGGAGCAGGTACAGAAAAAGTCAAAGACAACTAAGGCTTGTGACTTGAGCAGTGGGGGGAGCCAATGGTGCCCTTTTCTAACATGAGGAGTGAAGATGGAGAATGTATTCAAGTTTGGACATGTTCAATGAAGGTTTCTGCAGGACACTGCACTGGGGAAGTGCACTACCAGGGTTCCAGTTCTGGCTCCTGGATTTCTGGTGATGGAATCCTGGGCAAGGAACGTTTTTTTTTTTTCCTATGCCTCAATTTCATCATCTATAAAAGAGGCATAAGAATAATTGCCAGCCTAAAGGGCTACTCAGAAGACATGTACAGGTTGACTCTCTCTTATCTAGAATGCTTGGGACCAGAAGTGCTAGGAATTTCAGGCTTTCTTCAGATTTGGAATACTTGCATTGGCATAATAAAATACCTTAGGGATGAGATTCAAGTGCAAACACAAAATTCAGACCTTATATGCATAGTCGGAAGGTAATTGTATACATTGTGTTTAATAATTTTGTGCATGAAACAGTTTTATTGTGTGATATTTCCCACTTGTGGCATCATGTCAGCCCCCCCCCCCCAAAAAAAAAAAAAGTTTTGGATTTGGGGAGCATTTGGGATTTTGGATTTTAGGATTAGGGATGCTTCACCTGTAACTTGTTTAGAAAGATGCTTGACACAGTGGTATTGGTATTGCTGTTATCTAAGGAGGGCCTGGCAGAGCCTGCGTGTGCTCAAAAACAAAGAGCTGTGACGTGCAGGTGGACATTGGAAGCAGTGGCCATTGGTACTCTGTTTTTCACTTCTGGTCAAGTGTTTTGAAGACAGTTACTTCCCAAGTGCAAGTGCCAGGGAAATGTCTGCTTATGCTCAGGGCAGAGCAGGGAAAGTATCACCAACCACTCAGAAAGACAACTTCCCCAGAATCCCTTGTTCCCTCCAATGTGCTATTCCAGTGTCTTCTGAAATGTTAACTCTTAGAATAAAATGTTCTCAGAGTTTTTAGCATTTAGACAACATCCTGACCACTTCTGGAAATGGATGAAAGCAAAAGATATTCTCCTTATTCAAGAATAGAAGCATTCCAAAAAAGAAACATGATTTTTGGGTTTTCACAGAACTGGTTCAGGCCCATCCATCCTTCATCATCATCACCATCACTGATATTTTTGAGACTGACCATGTGTTGGGTCCTTAACAAAGTAGACTCAATTCCTAACTTTGTAGAGCTTCCATTTTAGTGGCGGAAATGCCAGAAAATTCACAGATCAACCAAATTTTTACATGACACATGCCATGAGGGAGAAGAGGTGGTGTTATAAAAGAGAATCCAAAGGGGGTATTAACATTCAGAGATCTGCAGGATACATGTTGTTTTAGGCAAACACTGGCAGGAAGTGAACTCTAGATACAGGGAAAAGTATATGCAAAGGTCTTGAGGGAGGAAAGAGCTGATGGTTTTTGAAGAACTAAAAGAAAGGAGAAGAGTGGCAGGAGGTGTGCTTGGCGAGGTGAGCAGGGCCAAGACTATGCACGGTCTTGTTAAGAATTCTGGTCTTTATCCTAAGAGTAATTGGAAGCCATTGGCCAGCTATAAACAGAGATTTAATTATAAAAGACCACTGGCTGCCATGAAAGGAATAGATTATTAAAAGGACAAGTGTAGAATCAGAGTTGTCACCTGTCATTGTCTCAGCCTAGACCAGAGGTGATGGTGCCTTTGAGTCGAATGGAGGGAGTTAAGTGGACATGTGTGAGACAAAGTCAGAGGAGGAGGAGAGAGAAGGGTCAAGAGCAATTCCCTGGCTTCTGGATTAAGCAGCCAAGTACGTGGAGGTGCCATTTACCCCAGGGGTTTCATTTGGCAGGTAGGCGGGGCATTTAAAAATCAACCTTTTAGGACGGAGATTGAGATACCTGTGAGATGTCAGGGAAACAGCTGGATATGGATCTGGGCCCAGAAGAAAGGTCTAAGCCACAGATATGAAGTAAGCACCATAGATAGATGATATTTACCACTTTGGGATTGGATGGCACCACCCAAGAGAGGTCCTAGAACTAAACCCTGGGGCACACAGAGTGAAGGCAGCATCAGGAAAAGAGCCTGAGAAAGTTTGGCCACGTTTAACTTGGTGTCCATTTCCTTCTACAGTGGACGGGGGCTATGGCTACCTGAAGGACTTGATGTGGTGGGCTGGATTTCTCACCAGTAAGTGGATTCTCTTGCTACTAATAAGAGTAGTCTATTGATAGAAGGGATGGAGATGAAGGAAGGGTTGAAAGGGCATTTCTGTCTCTATTATAGAAAGTATGAACCTAAGGCCAGATTCCTAGAGTGAGTCATGAAAACTTTGATATCTTACTCTCTAATCTCTGATGGTTTTCTCAGCTTAACATCAGTTTTAATCCATGAAGCATCTACCCCCCAGAGAGGTTTGTACAGAGGTGATAAGGATAAAGATGTATTTTCTCAACTTTCCTTGAAATAAAAGGAGATAGGCTCACTGCCTCTTGATAGTGGACTCTTAGACTTCTCCATGGTAGAAGCTGGGCTCCCAGGAGAACTTTCGCTCTCCCTGGACAATTCATCTGTTGGCCCATTTAGACCATGACTGTGTCTGACACTTGCGGTGTGCACACTCGCACATTTCCCCCATTTTCCATCACCCTCTCTGGCTCTCAAACCCTAATTCTTTTGAGTTTCCACTAACACCTTTTTTTTATAATCCCCTAAGTCAGTTTTGATCTTTGTCCTAGCCAGAGCTATTGCAGTGACCATCTGATTCCAAAGAGGAGAGCCAGGCAGCTATCTGCCCAGCAAAGAGATGGAAAAAACACGGGCATTTGCAATTTGAGAACTCAGAAGGGGAGAATTTAAGCTCTTTGGGATGTCAAGCTTTTCTAAAAACCTGCCTGTTGGTTTAGACTGTCCACAGTTCTCCTGGGAAAGAGGGCTCCAAGGACCACTGGTACCCAGAGAATCAATAAATTTAACTATTGCTTTGATAATTAACATTGTCTAGAACTTACCTTAAAGATATAGTCCAAAACATGGACAGTCCCTGAGACAGACTAAACTGTGTCTGGATAGAAACCAAGAGGGAGGAAGAGGAGGAGAAGAAGAAAAGGAGGAGGTTTCTATTCACAAGTACTGCTTGTAGCTAGACCTCAGCTTCGTCATCTTTAAAATGGAAGGATTTGGTCAGGATAGTCAGGGAAAGAGCATAAGGATCTCCTGAGCATGCATGGTCTTGTTAAGGAATGCTGGTTTGGGTTTCTAGGGATGATTGGAGCCTGAAAGAAGCCATCTCCACCCAGATTCATCTGGAATGGAGATGATTCCTTGAAGTCACCCTTGTCTTTTTCTTCCCTTCATTTCCTAGTGGCTGCTGGAGAAGTTGCCAACTTTGGGGCCTATGCATTTGCACCTACAACAGTTGTCACACCGCTGGGAGCCCTGAGCGTCCTCATAAGGTTATTGTCATCTCTCTAGCCATCTTCAGCTCTTTCATGGGTTCAGTTTCTTGAGACCTGGAATTACCTGGTGAGATCAACTGCATTCAGGGACCTGGCTTGGTCCCAGCCCCTAGAAAGAGGCAGTGTGCTGTTTGAAGCTCCAAACCCTTGAGTTGTTTGCGGCCACTGGCCTTGGCATCTCCTTGACTAATGGGTGGTTAAAGGGCAGGCCAAGCCCAAATCAGTTGTAGGGGCTCCCACAGCCAGTAGGCTGATGTCTCATGTGAATATCTGGCGCTCCAAGAGAAGCATGCAAATTAAGAGCACAAACCCCAGATTAACACTATCTGAGTTTTAATCCTCACTTGAACACTTAGTAGTTCTGTTATCCTGGGCAAGTCACTCCATCCCTCTCAGCCTCAGTTTCCCTCCTGCAAAACGATAATGCTAGTAGTACCTACCTGGAGACCCCGTTCTGAGGACTACATGTGACGCTGCACAGGAAGTGTTTAGAACAGAACTGGCACCAAAGAATAACCACAGCCATCTTACACTGAGGACTCACTATGTGCTCTGTGTTCTCCATGTGTTCCTTAGACTAACTTATTCACTCCTCACAACCTGACGCTAAGAGAGGTGAAGCAACTTGGCAGAGGTAACCAGGTTCCAAGTGGCCAGCCCAGGATTCCAACCCAGGCTGTCTTATACCAGAGACTGGGTGCTTAGCTGCTATGCTATGTTGCCTCTCAATAAACACTCCACAAATGATTGATCATTTCTGAAATAACTGAGGCTAATCTGGAGATGAGCTCAGTGACAGAGCGCTTGCCCAGCATGCCCAGGGCTCTAGGTTTGGTCCCCACCACCATGAGAATTAACTAATTACTAAAATAAAATAACTGATACTAAAAGGGTGTGTTTCCACCACCCCCACTCCTCCTGAGCTACATATAGAGCCAGTTCCTCTGCGACAGTGCCAACACTTCATTTGAAGGAGTTCTTGATGTGGGGGCTAACCTTGGAAACCTGGTAAATCCCAACCTTCCACACCCAGTTCCCATAGTTTCCTCTGTTTTGTTTCACCATCTTGATAACAATTTTGCAACATTTACACAGTCGGAAGACAAATATGACCATGACTCACACTGTAGGACTAGCCCAGCTGATTTTAGCTGATGAAGCGCTGATACCTCTCTGTTGCATATCTGATAGGTTTACAAATCCCCACTCCCCGGAAGTTGGGAGAAGCATGTAATCCTGCATTGTGTGACCTTTGCCAATGCAAATGCCACCAGGCTTTTTTGAACAAGACATTTTAATTAAGTGTTTGGGGCATTTTTAGAGAAGAGATAGGAGGCAGACAAAGGAACTTAAACATCAGTATCCATTCTCCTGATACTTTGCACCAAAATTTTTTGAGACTTAATGGGGTCCCAGGACAGCCAACAGATTAGACCTACACTAATGCCACCTTCATTTTTTTAAAAAAAGCTCCAATGATCAGACCCAGCTTGACTGATTCCCTTTTCCTTCACCTCTGCTGTCTCATCTAGAGGATGAGAGGAGAATAGAATTATGTCACCAAGGAATAGCAAGGAACTGGAAGTATTTTATCCAGAAAAGTGAAGACTCAGGGATCCTCTTCACTGAGGTGTAGAAGTTATGAGACAGAACTTGGAGCTCAAATCCTGACTCCACTGACTTACCAATTTTACTTCTATGAGGCTCATGTTTTTTTTCCTCATCTATAAAATGGGGACAGTATATTTCACTTCACAAAGAATTGTGAGATGTTAGTGATATTTAGAGATAATAAATGTAAATTTCCTAGAACAGAACTTAGTAGGGAAAATATGATCAAGACATTATGTCTAGAATTGTCATTGTGGTCATTCATATCGACATATACAAATGATTTGTTCTCCATGACCCAAGGAACAGAAATGAAACAAGGAGTAGAAGTTTCCAGAAGGTCTGTTTGTGATGGACAACTAGGATAAACCTACAATGAGCTCATTTTGCTTGTAAAAGGGATGTGCTCCCTGCTACCAGAGGTACACAAGACAAGACTGAAAGGCTTTTCACAGCAATCCTACAAGGGATATGTCCACTGGATAGAAAAACAAAAGCTTTTCCAATCCTTCAGTTTGCAAATGATTTCTGTCTCAAAAATGAAAGAAATCCACTTTCCCTTCTTTTCCTCCTCCCAGAAATGAGTTTCTGTTTTGATCATTTTGGGGAGGTCTAGCAAAGCTTTCACTTTGTCAGAGCAATAGATTAGAGCTCTAATCTATTGCTCTCCATGAACTCAGCCCCACTGTCTCTTTGGGTTTGGGCTGTACTAACCCCTTTCTCCCACCTCGGCGTGCAGTGCCATCCTCTCCTCGTATTTCCTGGGAGAGCGTCTGAACCTGCTGGGGAAGCTGGGCTGTGTGATCTGTGTGGCTGGCAGCACAGTGATGGTGATACACGCCCCTGAGGAAGAGAAGGTCAATACCGTGGTGGAGATGGCTTCCAAGCTGAAAGACACAGGTAGGCTTCCAGCACGAGAGAGCAGCAAACACCAGGGCTGAGCCCTGAGGAAGTTCCCATTGACTGCTGACCGTCTCAGGTCCACCCCTGCAGGAGAAGGCAAGCTAAAGCAGGCTGGTGCATGTTAGCAAGGCGAGCTTGTGGCTTCCTAGCCTGATGTGTGTGGACACCACTTACCGTTTCTTATGTGCTAGACACTGTCCTGAATGCTTCATATGCATTGTCACACTGAATCTCACAAAACCCTACAAGGAAGATCCTATTGTTGGTCTGTTTCTATACATGAGGAAACTGGGGTCTTGGGGGTTTAATAACTAACCCAAGTCATTGAAAGGTTTGAAGCTGGGACTGGAACCCATGTTTGTCTGACTCAAGAGCCACCTCCCCTGGGGCCCTAGTTGCTGTCCACATCCTTCACAGGTGACCTAGTCCCTCCTTCCCACAGGGTTCATCGTGTTTGCTGTGCTTCTGCTGGTGTCCTGCCTCATCCTCATCTTCATCGTCGCCCCGCGTTATGGGCAAAGGAACATCCTCATCTACATCACCATCTGCTCCGTGATCGGAGCCTTCTCAGTGACTGCAGTCAAGGGTCTGGGCATCACCGTTAAGAACTTCTTCCAGGGGTTGCCAGTCGTACGGCACCCCCTCCCCTACATCCTGTCCCTCGTCCTGGCTCTCTCCCTCAGCACTCAGGTCAACTTCCTCAACAGGGCCCTGGACATCTTCAACACCTCCCTGGTGTTCCCCATCTACTACGTGTTCTTCACCACGGTGGTGGTGACCTCCTCTGTCATCCTCTTCAAGGAGTGGTACAGCATGTCTGCCGTGGACATCGTGGGCACCCTCTCTGGCTTTGCCACCATCATCTTGGGTGTATTCATGCTCCATGCTTTCAAAGACTTGGAAGTCAGCTGGGCCAATTTGCCCCGCACGCACAGAAACCCTCCGCCATCGCCCACCCCAGAGCCCACGGTTATTAGACTGGAAGATAAGAATGTCCTTGTGGACAATATAGAGCTTGCCAGCACTCCGTCACCAGTGGAGAAGCCCAAAGTATTTATAATCCATTCTTAAAGCTCAGAATACATGAGTGAGAGGATGAGCCCAATGGTGCAACCTGACCTCTTGAATTCAAAACATGCTTATTTTTGGTGCAGCTGTTGCCAATGGACTGTTTTTCCTTGAGATGTTAACTTATACCTCATCACTGTTTCTAGGAGAAAATTTTCCACCCAAGGAGAGGTGGTGGCAGAAATTCCTAGAAACAGCCTCAGTGACCAAATATCTTAGTTTACATTGGAGCCAGCAGGTCCCCTGGGCCTCCCTTTCCACGGGTTCCTTTGGTGCCATCTCTGTATTGGGAAGAAGAGAGAATTTGACACGTTGAATGTCACAATCTAAGAACTTTCCTGAGATTTTAGCCCTCAGGGAATCCTTTGTACCAGTTCTCCTTCTGAGACTGAATCGCCATTCCTTAGCCCAAGAATGAGATAGAGCTAGCTTCCCGAGACCAGTTTGTCAGCCACCCCATCCAGAGCTGACAACTATCCAACCAGTGTTGCTTCTGCCATTTCCTCTCGGAGACAGAAGCAGGACCTCAGCTGACCTTACTGTGAAAGACACCTGATGTCTCAGGAAAAAATTTCAACCAGCCTGTTCTCCGAGTACTCCAGCCTGGTGGTCAGTGTATTGGTGTCCATCCAGTCCCCTCCATTGTCACCTCTTCCCTCACTATGACTGTCCCAAGGAGCCGGTCACTAAGACAGACAGGCAATAATTTTAGAATTCAAAATAACAACCAAAGATGTGCCACAGCCAAGCTCTGCTGACCAAATCTGATGTCCTGTTTGGCTCTACTCTGGACAGAGACAGCAAAGGCACTCTCTCTTAAAAGTGATCTGACTAGAACCAAGCTGGAATTCAGCAGAGTGCATGGGTGCTTGATGTCACATCACCCAGCAGGGGAGTTAACTCAGTCATGTGCAAGGTTGGTCTCCCACAGAATACCTTTTTATTTTTTTCAAGGAGTCAACCAAAATATGATTTGGAGAGGTGGAAAGAAGCATGAGGAGAAAAGTCGGGAGTTGGCAGAAGATAGTTACAAGCTGTCTGGAAACCAGGGGCTCATTTTGGGGTTTACTCTTATGCCCAACCAGGTATAAAGGGCTCTTCTAGGTAATTTCTGGGCTGCAGACTTGGAGACTTGGCCAGTGGGATTAGCTCTGAATCTCAGTGACAGAGTCGGAGCACAGACTTGGCATGGGTGCATTTTGGCCAATGACCAGTTTGCCATGGAGTCCCTGGTTCCACTAATGAGTTAGCTGTTTACCCCAAGAAGCACCGTGCTGGGGGCTGCTCCACACCACCAGCTAAGGGCGCTGCCTTCAGTCCTCTTACATTTAGCCAGGGGCATCTGCTAAATCGGAGCAGCTGGAGATACTCCTCCTTTTCTTCTAGCTTCAAGAATATGGGAGTTGTTGCAAGAACCATTACAAAGGAAAGTTAGGAGCCAGTTTACTAGAAAGAGGGAAGATTTGAGCCTCAGCCTCCAGGTGGGTGCAGAGCTTCCCTATGAACCCCCGACCTGTGTGCTATGTTTACATCTTGTGCTTTAGTGAAGCCAAGCCCAGGCTGAACTCTTGCTGGCCTTGGCACTCCAAAGGCTCAGTGGACTGACAGACTGGCTCCCCGCACCTGTAGCCCTGCATCTCCAGGTTTTAATGAATGTGGATTTCTGTCTGTAATTAAAATCAATGCAACATATTGAATCTTGAAAATAGGAGTGAGCTGAGGGTCCTGGGAGTAGGGCTGACAGGGTCAAAAAAAAGGCTTTGGAGTGTTTGTTTGATATTTGCATCTTGACCTTCCTTGATCATGGAGGAGTTCAACTAGTTCCTCTACTTTTGGGAGGTCAGTCCCCATCTGTAAAAGAGCATGACTCCTAAGAAAAGCCCTCCAGAGTCTGCCATGACGCCCTCACTGGAGCTGGAGAGGTCGTTTTTGGAATAGAGTCCATTGAAGGCAATGCTTCCTGAGTTCATGCCTGGGCCCTTACCGGGCACCAGGCAAAGTAGGCATTCCATGTGAATCCTCATTTTATCTCCTCACAGAGCCCTACAGTGGGTATATTTTTTTATCCCCAATGTACATATGAGAAAAGGAACTTGGAGAAGATAATTGCCCAAGGTCACACAGCCAGGGAGATCTGGAAGTTGACATCTGATTCTAAGCCCACGGTCTTAACCACCAGGTGGTGCATTTTCCCAATAGACTAACCTTACACCCTCCTGCAGAGTCTGATACTACTTTACTTTCTTGAGATCTGTGATGTCTTCCTATCCAGATATGAACTGCATGAGAGTTAGTCTGGGCTTACTGTTTATCCCTTGTTCCTAACATATAGTTAGAATTAAAAACAACAACAATAACAACAACAACTGAATTTGATTGGGGGCCAGTTTCCAATTCATGGCAATCCTATGAGAAACCTAGCATGGTAAGCAGAGTGACTCTAAAACCAACATAGTGAGGACCTTCTGAGCACATGGCCTGTGGTGGGCACTGTTGGGTGCTTTCACACAGAGTGATTTTCAGGTAGGTAGGTTAGTCTGCTTTCTGTCACTTTAACAAGTATCTGAGACAATCCCTTATAAGGAGAAACGTACAAGGGTTTTGGAGGTTCCAGTCCATGACTGGCTGGGCCTGTGGCTTCGGGCTTGTGGCAAGACAGCACTATAACAGCAAGAGCGCATATAGCAGGGCACTCATGGCTGGAAGCCAAAGAGAGAACTAAGAAGAGTCTGGAGTCCCTATTTTGCTTTGGGACATCCTTGAGGACCTTCCTACTAGGCCCCATCTCTTAAAAGTCAACCACCTCCCAACAACATCTTCCTGGGGAATAAACCTCCAATTGGGGGACATTTGAGATCCAAATTACAGCAATATTCTTCTTAGTTGCATACAAAAGGAGACTCAGAATTCTGACACTTAATCTTGACTCACACTTCCTGTAAGTGGCAGAGCCAGGATTTGAACTCAGGTCAGAAACAACAGATGATATCAACCCAGAGGACTGGCCAAAAGAGTGGACAGTGTCCTATAAAACAGGCAGAGGTGTCTGGGTAGGGACTCATTTCACAAGCCTGAGTGTTACAGTCATGAAAGCATTTGTGTTTAGATGCCTTTAGTGTCCTTAGGTGACCTCACAACCATGAGAGCTTAGAAAAGTACAGTCGGATATCAAGGACCCTCTCTCAGGATTTCTGCGAAGATTAAATGAGATAAAGAAATGTAAAATGTGCAGCATCTTGCATGTGTTAAGTCCCAAGCCTCGGCACACCGTTGTTCCATCTGTTACAGAAACTCAAGATCGTGTAGGGATCAAATGAGAGCGTGAGGGCAGACCCCTTTGTGAACTGGAAAGCACTGGATGTGAGCTGGATTATCACATAGGGCTCTGGAATTAGCCCACGAAGCATGGCCCTGGCTGCACCTGTCTACCCAGCCAGGCGACCTTGGGCAAGTGTCTCTCTAAAGTTTCATCCTTAGCAATGAGATGAGTCATCTTCTAAAGCATAGTATAGGAAAAGTAAACCAGAGAACCCAAGATCATTCGGGCCTTTAATGATCCAAGACCCAGTTCAACTAAACCAGCTCCTGTCTGGGTGCAAAGGAAAATAGTCCCCTCTCCTGGCCATGGGAAACCCAGGCTTTGCTGGGGCTCAAAGTCAACCATAATGGCTTTGTAGGCTGGACTGATGGTCTTTGTCTTTCTGAGGAGAGCTCATGTCATGGATTCTATCTGGTCCAAGCAGTGAGACATTGAAACAAACACACAAAAGAAATGCCAAACCAGAACATTCCAAATGAAAAAGTTTGTTTTAATTAAATACAAACAAGGAAAAAAAAAGGCACCACGGCCCATTCAAGTATTTTGCATAGATGTACAAATATTGTAAACAATTAATAGGTGGACAAGAGAGAAGAGGATCTGTTTTTCCATTTAGCATCTCCCAAATAAAAAGAAAATTCACATTGCCCTGGATCCCTAACGCGTACGTACACACAGTGGGTGGTGCGAGGGGACGTTCAGAGGGTGGCTTTGGGGGAGTTGGGCTTGGATTCTGCAGAACTTCTCCTTAGCAGGCTTCCCTAGGGATGGGACCCCTTTCCAGTTGGCACTCCTTTGGCTTATGTGGGTGCCCCGCAGAGCTGTTATACACATATTTAACACAATTACTGGCTTTAGAACTTGTCCCCAATTTTTAAAATGCAAGTCTTCCATACCCTTTGTCAACTAAGAAGAAATTAGGTCAGACCTAAGGGGAGGCTTTATTAAAAAGGATTATTGAAGGATGAGGAGGAGTTACTGCAATCAGGGAGGGGGAAATTGCAATGCAGAGAATACTCAGACTTTGAGATCTGCAAGAAGCTTAGAGTTGGGGCAGGAAAGGGCTTTTCTCTTATAGGTAGAAGTCAACATGGAGGAAAGGAACCTACAGCAAGCAGGTAGTGCCACTTGGCTAATGTCCCACAGAGCCAGGGAGCCAGGGGGCTAGGGGGCTGTCTTCCTGAGGTTTGCATTCAGAGATAGCTCCAAGGCCCCTGAGAAAAACATTCCCAGGCTGTAAAACTGGCAGGAGCCTAGTTTAACTTCTAAAAAGATTTACATCCTTCTTTATCTGAATAAACAGCATGCCGTTGATGGACAGACCAAACTGGAGTGAAGCCTCCCTCCTCCCCACCAGACCCTGGACCTTCACTTACCCTCAGCCCAAGCCAGAACACAGGCTGTTTGTAACAGCCCTTCCCCAAAAAGACGGGGACAGAGACTCCCATGAACACTGTTCTTTCTAGCCATGTCCACTCCTTCTAATAAAAGAAAAGGCCTTCTCTGCCTGGGCCATGGGATGCTTGTTCATTTGGAGTCAGTTGGTCCGAGCATCCTCCCTGTGGCCATGGTACTCTCCTCTCCGTATGGCAAAGTTCTCATCTCTTGTGATAATCCTTTGGAATAAAGCCCGCCTTCCCTAAATCCAGATGTTTGTACTTGCACACTCCCAGCAGCGCTCTAGGCAGAGGCGTGACCAAGGGATGGTAACTCTTGGCACTCTTCTCCCTGGAAGCCTCTCTGACCTGCTGGAAAATGACTCCTAGCTCCCTGAACTGAACTAGGAGTGAAATGGCAAATAGAACTGGCTGCCCAAAGTTTCCATCAAATTAAAAAGATTCCACCATCTTCCAGTTCACAGTATAATTTTATGGGATGGAGATGGTATTAAGAAGAAAACCCAAAAGAAAACAAAAGGAAAGGGAACAAAAACCAGGGCTCTTTCCAATATGGTTCCAGGGACAGTGGATTTGGGGTTCAAAAGGCTCATGACATCATCATGGCCGCCACATGGTCACTTCAGAGTGGCCTACCTCCTGATGTGAGGGAGAAGGGCTGCACCAGCCACAGGAGCATCCAGGCGACACGGGGTTGGTTGGTTCATTTGCAAGGGATGAGGGGGTCACCTTTTCTGGGACCCAGTCTGGAGGCACGGGGCACTGGGTGCAGCATGCTTAAATAGAAGGCTGTGTCCTGTCTGAATCTTGCAGTAAGAAGGTGGGGAATGGACATGGGGGAAGGAGGGCCCGAGTATCGTAGCCACCCTGAGGGAAGAGAAATGCATTTTCCTGAGATCTTTCTAAACCCACCCCATGTTTGTCCCCAGGTGTGCATTCCACATCCCCTACCTGTCTACAAACCCAAGAACATTAGTTCAGCACCTACTATCTGCAGAGAACTATGAGGAGGCCCTTGGATGGTGAGCAGGGAATCAAAGGATCAGCCCCCTCTTTGCACTGAGGTCTTCAAGAGCAAGAAGGTGGGAGGTCCCTGGAAAACCCTCAAAGGAGTGAACATTAGGCTAGCTCCCCTCTGGAGAGCTGCTCAGCACCTTTCTGGGGGTAGGAGACAAGTCTCTAAGAGCTCACCCCCAGCTATGCTATAAAAATTGTCCGACTAGCAGAGCATCCCATAGACTTCCTCCTGAGTTCCAGACAGAATAAGGTCCTTGGAGTCCAGTCCCTCTTCTGCTCAGAGCAGTGACCAGAGGAGAGAACGAAGGAAGTAGACATCAAAAGCCTGGTTGGAGGGAGAAGACGCTGCCCCAGCTCAGACTGTTTCACTGCAGTGATTGACAGCTGCCTTCTCCAAGGATCTCTGATGCTCCTCCTTCACTACTACCACAGCCATCCCTGGGGGACCTCACCTAGATGTAGGTGAGGGAGTACAGAGGAAGAAGCTCGCCCTGTTGAGGTCACAAACACAAGGAAAAATGAAGCTAGGCCCCCATGGCTATACCCCAAGTCCACTTGGGTCAACACTCTTGAGATCCAGTGCAGAAAATCCAGTGGCCACCCCATGAGGCAGGACCCTGACTCGTAAGTCGCAAGCACCTGATTGCTAGAAAAGTCAGGACTGCTGGGGCTCCACTCACCAAAGCACCACGTGATAGAGTGGGTCTGAGGGGGAGGAGAAGGTAGAAGCGTGGAATGCAGAAGAGAACCTAAGGGCAACCAAGAATTACCAAGAGTCCAGTGGCAACCTTTGGCATCACGGCTCAGAGGAGGCCCAGGTCTGGTGCTCCCCTTGCTGTCTACATTGCCTACAAATAGTACCTGTCTGAGTCAGTGTGACCCGTGTGAATAAAGGGACTCAGGCTTGGGAGATAGGGGGAAGGGGACTTGGCTTGTCACATGCAGCCATATAGCCAGAGGCTGTCATTTTGACCAAGCCCTGGGCAGGACCAGAGCAATGGCTGCTTGGACCCTTTCTCAATCCCTAACAGCTAAAAGAGATGGGAAAGGGCCCAGCCTCTGTTCAGCTTGGGATCTCCAAGGGAGACAGAGCAATGAAAAGCTCTCACACGTACCCTCCATCACAGGCCCTGGATGGATGACTTCTCCAAGCTAAACTCCAGGCAGAGGGGCTGAGCAGGACTTGCCCCAGCTGGCTCACCAGCTCAGAGGGCCTTGCCCACCTCCATCAGCACCTCTGAACGGGGAGGACAGAGGGCAAAGCTGCCATTCACCCTCCGCCACGCTCTCCCCTCCCTACCCAGGGTTGTATATTGCACAAAACAACATATAGAAGCCATTCGATAGTAGTCCTCTGGGCCTCTGAAGAAGCTGAGGAGGCATGAGTCAAGAAGGAGAATTTCCGAGATGTGGTAGTTCCAGGAGGAGGCCAGGAGCTGCTCAGAGGTGTCTAGACATGCTTCTTCCAGATCCCATGCTCCTGGAAACTGTGGTGTCCAGAGTCCCCAGGAAAGCAAGAACCCTCTAGGTGGGTCTAGATTTTGGAGCTGGTCATCCCAAAAGCTCTCTGTGATCGGTATTCAGGAAACTGGAAGGAACACAAAGGCAGGGAGGAAGAAATCAGCTTGATGTCCACTGGGGGGATTCACGGGAGCTGTGCTCTTGCTTTTTACAGATGGAGGGCAGATACATCATGCACTAAGAAGAAAGGCTTCCAGCAGAAGACCTAGACCATCAGCCTGTGCAGAGGTATGGTGGGGCTCCCCTGGCAAGCTGAGGAGTCCACTTCCTCACCTTGGCCCTTTCACACTCCCAGGACTGGCAAGCTGAGAACGTCAGCCCCAGAGAAGAGGTAAGGAGAGAGGCCAGGGATACCTGGCCTATCACAGCCACTGCTGCCTATTACTGCCCTTTTATAGATGAGCAAAGGGGCACTCCAGAAAGGGACTCGTTCAGGGCCACCCAGCAGGTCCGGTGCAGATGCAGGTAGAAGCCACCACAGCTCAGGCACCGAACTGCTACTTTTCACATGAAACCAAAACCCCCATCACTGATTTCAGGGACAGTCAAGCAGGCACCAAAAAATGCTAAGCTTTTGTTCCTGGTTTTTGCTTTGGAAGTTCCATTCAGACAAAAAGCATGCACTGGTTTGTTTTCTCAGCCACACAGGTGACCTCTGGGACTTTCGTGGACTCACCTTTGAGGCAGGAACTACCAGAGGCTGGGACTGCTGAGGGCCAGCAGCAGAGGGCCTAAGCTCTGAGGCACCACTTGGCCTGGGGAGGGTCCTGCGGCCTGGCACAGGGTTTGCAGGGAGCGCCTTCTGGGGTGGCCGAGGCCTGGAGAAATCCTGGAGAGAAACAAGTCAAGCTTCCAGATGGTGCCTAGTATACAGGAAGCACTCAACACAAATTAGATGAATAAGTGCACTAGATTTCTTAAAATCAATATGCATTTCTCTACACTAGTTAAGTTTCGTGAAACAGGAATGTATCTCTTATGTAGCTGGGAAAAAAAGTTTAGAGGGGCAAAGAATGGACGCCCCAAAGTTGGTAGGGTTTAAGAGAAGCCAGTTCCTTCCCTGAGAAGGTCACTAATGGGTAGAAAAATGGGCTAAAGGCAAGCATGCAGAGAGACCAGGAAGAATGCTGAGGGCCAGCGTGTTCTCTAAGAAACTGTAAGAGAACTGAGAGCAGAAACAAACTCAGACAGCAGGAAAAGTCATGTTCTCCCACTCCCAACGTGATCACCCTCCCTTCCCAAACTGCAGTAGCTGCTGGAGGCCAGGAGAGACCTTCTAGGGAAAGTGATGCGGGTGCAGATGTTGCCTGCAGTTGAGGAAACGCAAAATGAGCCACTAGGGGGTTGCTATCTGGGCCTTATCAGAATGTCAGCACCAGGCCTTGCAGAGCAGTGATCTGCCTCAGGCCACATCTGATAGGACCCAGCTCAGCTCTGCCATGGGCCTCAGAGCACTATTTCCTGGAAGCCAAAGCAGCCCCAGGCTCAGGGTCCCCTTCCTTAAGGGGCGGCATCTCCATCAGTCAGGCTGCACAGGCAGACACTGGGTGTCATCCCGGGCCAACGCCCATCTGCAGGTGATCCTCAAGTCCTGTTTACTCTTTTTCTCAGTCACTCATCCTCTCCACGCTTCCATTCCTACCTCAGTGCAAGCTCCCACCATCTTTCTGAGGACAGTGTTTAAATCTGCTGACTAGTATGCTCATTTGCCATCACAGCGGCCTTTTTGTTTTCTAAAACTGTTTTTTAAAAATTTTTTTAAGTTGTCAATGGACCTTTATTTTTTTCTATTCATATGTGGTGCTGAGATCAAACCCAGTGCCTCACACATGCTAGGCAAGCGCTCTACCACTAAGCCACGACCCCAGCCCCTCTAAAACTATTTTAAAAATTTTTTTTAGTTGTTAATGGACCTTTATCTAATTAATTTATTTGAATGTGGTGCTGAGAATTGAACCCTATGCTCCACACATGCTAGGCGAGCACTCTACCACTGCGCCACTACCCCAGCCCCTAAAAAACATTTATTTAACTGAAGTGTAATACCTACATCAGGGCCATCTGCCATCAGAGTTTCCCTACTAGTGGGTCCTGGACCAAGAAGGCCCTTTCCTCCCCTGCTTCACAGTCCAGCTACCTCCTTCTCTTCTTTCATACCAGAGCTCAAATCAAATGCTCAAATACCAGAGCTCAAATCTCCCAAGGAGGCTTTTTTTTTTTTTTTTTTTTTTTTTTTTGGTACTGGAAATTGAGCCCAAGGGCGCTTAACCACTGAGCCACATCCCTAGCCCTTTTTTGTATTTTATTAGAGACAGGGTCTCACTGAGTTACTTAGGGCCTCAAGTCGCTGAGGCTGGCTTTGAACTTGTGATCCTCCTGCCTCAACTTCCAGAGCCACTGGGGTTACAGGTATATGCCACGTCTAGCCCAGGGTGGCCCTTCTGAGCACCCTGTACCCCTTCTTCACAAAACTGACCACTGTCACAGCTACATGCATCCCAGAGCCTCTTCCCCAGCGGAATGGCAACTGCTTGCTCATTATGGCTGTTATCAGGCAGAAGCACGTGGGTGGGAAGCACAGAAGACGTCCTGAATGCTCAGTCCCCCCTCTCTAGGAGGCCCACATCACCCAGCTAGGAGGGTGGACCTCAGGTCTGGCCTGAGACTAGACAGGATAAGTGCCTTAGGGCTGGGAGGTGGGAATCTCACTTAGCTGGGGGACACTTGGGTTTAAGTCCTGGCTCCTCCACCCACAGACCCTGTGATCTTGGGCAAGTTCCTCGACCCTGTGAGACTCAGCAACCCAGGTGAGACAAGAGGGTAGAAATAACTCACTTCTTGGAAAGGCTCTGAAGGGGGAGGTGGCTGGCCCCATTTCATCCCTGCAACTTCCCCTCAGAGCAGCTGCCCGCACTGCCTTCCCTTGAGAACCCCCATCTGAACCCCAGGTCCTGGGGTAGCCATGCTTGGGATCTGGATGTTGGGACACCTGCCACTGCCTCCCTCTCCCCTTCGCCCTGTCTCTACAGGGTTGCTTTCTCTCCCTTGCTCCTCTCTCTTTCCACTGCGTGTTGAATTGTGTACACTCCCTCAAAAAAAAAAAAAAAATTCAAATGTTGAATTCCTAACTCCCAGTACCTCAGAATGTGACCATATTTGGAGCTGAGGTCTTTAAAGAGGTGATTAAATTAAAATGAGGCCGTTAGGGTGGGCTCTCATCCAATCTGGTGTTCTTGTAAGAAGAAATGCAGATACAGAGATACCAGGGATGCAGAGGAAAGGCCACATGTGGACACTGTGAGTGGGCAGCTGCCTGCAGGGCAAAGAGAGAGGCCTCAGGAGAAGACAACCCTGCCAGAACCTTCATCTTAGGCTTCCAGCCTCTGGAACTATGAGAAAATAAACGTCCACGGTTCTATCCACCCATTAGATGGTATTTTGTTATGGCAGCCCTAGCAGCTGAATACACTCCCCCTTCTTGTGCCATGAACAAGGCATTGGGGTACACAGACTCTCCAATAAGGGGGTGATAGT